CTTACTGGCCCCCACACCACAGTTAATACTACGAGAGTCTCAACTGGAGAAGATGTTAACTGAAAAAGGGTCAGTAACTTCGTTTATCAGTCGGTCTATAGTTTTATGTCTTTTAAGTGATACACTCCAATAGATTTGTTGTTTTCATTTGACAGCTCATAATAAGTCGGACTTAATTTCTTGACAACCCTAGCTTTATTGAAGGCTGGGGCGAGTTTGCTACTAAACTTTTTGCTTGCATTACTTTGTGCAAAGCCACGTGCGTAAACAATATCGCCTTCATTTAGTTTTATCGTGCGGCTACGCAAATTATAGGTTTTCGCGTTAGCTGCATGAGCTTTAGAGATGTTACTTTTAGCTTTCGCGCGCACTAGTTGCAATAGATCAGGTGTTTTTAAGGAAGTGTCGTCTGTAACTAAGTTTACTTTTCTAAGAAGTTCGTAGTCTTTACCATTCATGATCATATTCTGGCCAAAGCACAAAAAGTATGGTGGAAATCCTGTACTACGATGCACACTAGACCTCAGTGATCCGCTAATTTCATTCAGATACTTGTCCCAGCTTGTGTGATCCTTTCCTACATATGCGCGTATAGCTGCTAATATGGAACGGTTCAATCGCTCGCTTGCGTTCGCCTGTGGAGAATAATTTGCGGTGCAGATGTGTGACGTGCCGAAGCGAGTTAAAAACGCTTCGAAGTAGCCAGATTTGAATTGGGACCCATTATCTGTTAAAATGGATTCGGGTACTCCAAATGTGTAAAATACATGATTCTCTAAGAACTCACAGATTCTATTAGACGTTAACTTTTTCAACGGGTGCAGGAAGTGAAACTTCGTGTGGTGGTCGACAATGACTAAAAGACCGATGTTTCCGTTCTTTGACCGTGGGTATGGACCTAATAGATCCATGTACAATTTTTGGAATGGTCTCTCCGATGTCATAGGTTTGCCCATTGGTGGCCTAAGAACTGTATTAGGACCTTTTGTTGACTTGCATGTGGAACAATTGGATATATAGTCACGAATTTGCGTTACCATGCCGGGCCAAAAGAGATGTCGCTTTAACTTTTCTACCATTTTGCCGATTCCGAGGTGAGCTGAATCCGCCGGATTGTGGGCTCGATATAAGACCTGTTCTCTCAAGTTCACTGGAACCCAAAGCTTCCAACAGTCTGATCTAGCTGTATCATCATCTTTTGCGGGTTCAGTTCGCTTATATACAAATTTATCGACAACCTTTAGGTCTGGTAACTTATGCTGGTTATCATTTATGTTATTTATCAAATCTAGATATTCCTGGGAAGTAAATTCTTTGGACGATACGTCAATAATTGGTCCAAAATTCAAAAGTTCGCAAATGTCGGCTTCGTACCTCCGAGACAGGGTATCGGCAACGACGTTTTGCGATCCGCTACGATGTTTTATTTCGAATGAAAAGCCTTGCAATCGGATCGACCATCTGGCCAAGCGCCCTGATAGATCCTTTTGCCTCATTAGCCACTGTAAAGAAGCGTGATCTGTAACTACCGTAAATTCTTGCCCTTCAATGTAGGCTCGGAATTTATTTATTCCTTTAATGACTGCTAAGCATTCGAGTTCGGTGACTGAATAATTTCGTTGGGCTTTAGACAATTTTTCGGACATATATGCAATTGGTAATTCGACGCCGTCATCATTTGCTTGGGCCAACACACAGCCAAGACCATGCAGGCTTGCATCACACAATAATATAAAAGGTTTCGAAAAACAAGGCGTCCTCAAAACAGGTGCAGATGTCAACTTGTTTTTCAATAGTTCAAAGGCTTCTTTCGCTTCCGAATTCCAATTCATTGGTTTATTCTTTTTCAGAAGTTCAGTTAAGGGAAAGGTTATCGCAGCGTAGTTTTCTACAAACCGTCGATACCATCCGGCGAGACCTAAGAACCGTCTCAATTGCTTCACCGTGGTTGGGACTGGGAATTCATTGATCGCATTAACCTTGCCAGGGTCGACTTTGAGCTGTCCATGGCCGATAATGAATCCTAAATATTTTATCTCTGTCATACAAAATTTGGACTTGGCTATATTAATGGTCAAGTTCGCCTTACGAAGATATATACCTATTTCTTCTAACAGACTCATGTGCGAAACAAAGTCGTCGGAAAGAACCAAGAGATCGTCCAAATATACAAATACTCTTGTTCGTAGACTTGCTGGGATTACTTGATCCATGAGCCTGCATAGAGTCTGCGCGGCATTACATAGTCCGAAAGGCATCACTTTATATTGGTACAAGGGCCTGTTTGGTATTGTAAACGCCGTGCATAGTCTAGACTTTTTATCAAGCGGGATTTGCCAAAATGCATGCTTCATGTCGAGACCAGTGATAAAACGAGCGGGAGGCAAGCGACTAAGAATGCCGTCTATATGTGGCAGCGGGTACGCGTCTTTTAGCGTCAGCTTGTTCAGTTCTCTGGAATCTAAGCACAAACGAACTTTCTCTCCCTTCTGTACTAACACGCAATTGCTGCTCCATGGACTCTTCGATTCTTCTATCACGTCTAGTGCCAGCATGTTTTCAATTTCGGCAAACATAAGTTTTTCTTTGGCAGGGGAAACTGGCCAATGACGCTGCTTGACGGGCTTAGCATCAGCGACGTCGATGTTATGCTCTATTAGGTGTGTGCGTCCCAAGCCTTCTTTCTCGTAAGAGGGTAGCTTGCTAATCACTGAAGTGAGCTTGCGCTGCTGAGCTGCTGAGAGAGAATGCATTTTCGCACTAATTACTGTGTTATCATCTCGACCTACATCTAGTTCTGCCACCGATTCTGAGGGAAGATCAGTGATTCTATTAAGTAAACCAAAATCTCTCCAGAAATCGATTCCCAAGTAACAGTTTTGTTCTAGGTCAGGTATTACAAAGAATTCTACTGGTTTAGTTTGGTTGCGATAAGTTATTTCAACGACAAGTCTGCCAACTACGGAACATTTGGCATTATTGGCTGTTCTGATTTGCCCAGAACACTTCTGTAGCTGTGGATGTCTGATGAACTTTTGTGCGGCTACGCCGCCAATGCAGCTTATAGTTGCACCTGAGTCTAAAAGAGCGGTATAACTATTATCGTCGATTTTGATATCGGTGTACAATCGGTTATCTGAATTCAAGAATACGGCGGAAATAAGCTTTTTACGGCTCTCTTCTACCTTTTTCCAGAAAAACCTCATTCGCAAGGTTGAACGTCGGGGTTTTCGAATCAATAAGCAACTGTCTACGTCTCCGAAGATGCGTTTTCTGGCTGATGCATACTGAGCTGCTCGAACTTGGTATGGTTGGTGAATCTCTAGTTTAGCTTGAGGTATCTGGCATGGTGGATTACATGGTCTGTATGAAATTGGATTTGTGACTTCGGTCTGAGTACTACAATCTACTTTTAATGGTTCGGATGCGACAGGTTTTTGTTGGCTGACGCATCCCTTCTGCGGTTTTCCGACGGGTTACATGTTGGGCAATTTGGCTTATAGGTGTTCTTCATCCCACATCCATAACAAAAGATGATACGCGCCTCAAGACAATCCTCGAACCGATGGCCTGACTTTGCGCAGTTCCAGCACTTCATTTGCTTGTGCTGCAGCGCTGAAACTTCGTCTAGTTCTTCGGCGTCCGACCCATTATCGAGCTGGGAGACAGTAGAGCGTTGGGGAAAAATATTTTTCACTGATAGGGGCTTAACTTGTTTGGAAAATTGCTCGTGAGTGCGAATTGCTTCTCTTAAACGCGCTAGGGTGTTTATGCCTAAGTGCATTAGCTCGTAACGAAGATGGGGCTTTGAATGACGGATGAGAAGTCGTACTAACGATTCTTCTGAAATTATGGTTTTTAGGCGAGACACAAGTCTCTCGACTTGAAACTGATATTCCTCGAAGGTTTCCTTATCGCCTTGACGTCTGCTGTTAATTGCCTCCCAGATATCCATATCTGTATCAATGTCATCAAATTTCTTTCTAAACTCTCTACAAAACTCGTCCCAAGTAAACTGAGGGCAAGCGCGATGAAACCTCCAATACCACTCGACGGCTTTCCCACCGAAGAAGAGGTGTAAGTGATCGCATAGAAGCTGATAGTCCCCGTTTAAATTCTGTTGAGCTAGTGCTCGAACTCTGTAGAGAAACTCGTCCGTTTGCAGACCATCTCTAGCTGCATCGAATTTGATTCGCCAACTCTGAATAATGTTTGGAACTTTGTCTGGCAGAACCGAAGCGTTTGGTCTCCTGGCGTTGCCATTGTATTGGTTATTGATATGACCTGAACTTGAGGATGTATTCTGGTTCCGGTCTGCTATAAAAACTGGTTCACCGGGTGGAGTAAACACTCTTTCTCGACCCGAGTGATGACTATTACTGTCAACCTGACGTGTTGACAACTGTCCCTGAATCAATGCTGTCAGGTCCTGCATGAGCTGTTGCTGTTGACGCTGCATAGCGGCCTGAATTATTTGGTTTATATCTTCCACACTTTGTGCTTTAGGGGCTTCGTGAGACACGCTTGCCTCACTCGCGCAAATGTTTGGCAGCGGCGCAAGTTGGCTCCGCTGTTGGGATCTGGTCACCATACCGCGGCGCTGTACTGCGTTACTAATTCTGCTTGTTCTGCCTCTACCTCGATTGCCGGTACTGCTGTTTTCCGATGCTTCCTCATGCGTAGCAATGTCGACTAACTGGTCAGCAGCGGATAATTCAGCTTGCAAGTTGTTATTTGATAAAGCCAACTGATTAAATGTACAGAGCCTTTTGCAAGTTGGGCAGTGGTTAGATTCTCTTAAAGACTCGGTAATACATGGGTAATGAAATTTATGTTTACATGGCGAAACTGCGGTTAAATCAGCTTGACTTAAGGGTTGGTCGCAAATATTGCAGATTGCATCTTGTTCGCTCAATATATCTGTCAGGTTCTCCCTACTGTGACGAACTGCCATTTTCATATATATATATATATATATATATATTTTTTTTTTTTTTTTCTTTTTTTTTTTTTTTTTTTTTTTTAAACTTTAACTGAAACTTTAAACTGAACTGTTAATAATAAATTCGGTCCGCACCTTCCGACTCCATGCTGGTCATATTGTTATCCCAACTGGATAATCTCACATAACGTCGCCAATACCGAAAACTACTGATACTTCTAATTGCTGAGGTCGGGTTTGTATTTACAGGTCAACTATTCTTAAGTTGCTTTTCCGCATAATTACGCGACCTAATCTCGCATTCGTTACCCCAGAATCGAGATGCGTATTGTTGTATGTGAGTCTATTCACTCTGGTCGAACTATTCGTAATAGGTATCGCTATTCCTAGAGACGATGATTCATTCATATCAACGGGTCGCTACAACCTGGGTAACTGGGTGAATTCTATAACTTAAAAGTTATCCCTGAAATATGATTCGACTCGGTCGACTAATCCGTAAGCACTCGAATTATAATCGCTTCTCCAGAGAACAGTCTCATAAGACAGATATGGAAAACTTCAAATCATAAAATTACGGAATTTAGTAAATGTTTAATATGTTATTAAATGGGTGAAATTTGAGAGCTATAATGTAGGGCTTATTTCTCCTAGCCGTTCGGGCCCCACGTTGGGCGCCACTTTCTGTAGCATGCAGAAGGGTATGTATGCGATCTTGTGCTCTATTCAAGAGGCCACCAGCTTCGTGCGGTTGATGTTCTTCCGCAGAGGTGAAGAGATTCGGAAGGTGTGCACTTCTAGCGTTGCTCTATACTATGCTCGTCGGATTTGGCGTGGGTCTTTTCCTCTTCCCTTCACATATCACTCCTTTTGTGCTCAGAAAGGATAAGTGCACTGACTGTATACTAATAAGATGAAGGTCCAATAAGATGTATTCGGGCTGTACTCACGTACAGAATTAATAAAAATGAGAACGGCGGACTGTTATGTGAGAATTTCAGTGGCTAGGGTGCGGTAGGTGTTGATCGCTCCCCATTCTTTACCCTCCCAACCTTGGTAACTCGTGATTAATTTGGGTGGTTACCCCTTCACTAATGTTTTATTTAATTCAACATAAACAATATGACTTCAGCGTAGGATCGTACCGGCGACGGACCTTCCTGTACAATTTATCGGTACATTTTAATTAAAGTAAACTTCAGATAACAATCATCTGATCCATATAAGAATGCTTTACTCTTTAGTATTTTGTTTTCTTTTGCCTAGACTCAGGTGTAACAGGGCGGTGTTAAACTATTATATATATTCATGTTAATACACGAGCATTCCGAGTGCGATAAAACCGATTAAATAATTCGTTCGCCAATAATAGGCCGTACTCACTGTAAGTTATATTCGGACTTGTCACTCACTGTTATATCCATCGGTGCAGGTTCGTTGGGCCCATCGAAAGTGCAGTTGGTGTGGTGCTTTAAAGCTTTTGGTAGCTGTGCATAAAGAAAATTATTTAAACGGAAATCGCTGCTACGGGTAACGCTACTATGTACTCACAGGAAATTTGTATATTAAGGTTACATTAAAAAAAAAACAATAAAGAAAGCAAAGAAAGTAATTAAGAACTAAGAATCCAAACTCAGATTGGCTGGCCTCCAGACAACATCAAACAGCTGATAATCCTACGCGGCTTGACGACGGATTGTTTCAACTAGAACGCATGCGCGCGAGACATCGAGCGAGCTAGACTATTCGATTGCGGTTAACTCTATTTCGTTTCCAGATAAAGACTTCTCCTTCACTCCTTTGTGTCACACCTACGCTTCACGCTATCAAGCGTGGCTATACTCTGCCGAGTAAGATAAGGTATGCAAGACACAACTCGGTCGTTTTAAGCGTTAGACAAATATATAGCGATGAAAAGAACCGGTGTAAACTTTAAGTTGAGCCAACTGCGCCTCAGCCGGTGTGAACTGGAGCTTAACTAATTCGCCGAATAATCGCCGAAATAGGGGCGGTGATTGATTATGGGGCTCTTTCGGCCGGTCGCCGAATTATGTTTAATGTTTAGAGCGCGGGGGCGCCGTACGCAGACCGGCCGATATCTGGGCTTGTCGGGCGCTGCTAACGCTCCCTGTAAAAAGGTGGATTTACGTTAAACAGTTCTAACTGTTTTTTTTTTTTTTATGGAAAGTATTACCTGTTCCAACACTATGTCGCGTTCGCGAATACTTCTTAACCAAATACGTTTGTCTTCAATTTTGATTATAACCGAAAAAGTTTAACACGTGTGATCTTAGCAATGTTAATTAGAAAAATGAGCAGACGTTATGACTCCGTTGCGTCTGTTCGTTTTCACAGCTGAAGACGAAGTGAACGAGGTGACCGCGTGGATAACTCACTTTGGCTATGCAACTGATACGCCACGCCAGCTACATTTGTCGCTTGTGATATTTAACGGAACTATGGCGTGATTGCTTGTCTTATTCTTTGATGCCGTTTCTTGTCGCTTTATGTATAAGGTGCGAAACTGACGCGAGGAGATGCAACTAACACAACCGCCGAGGCGTGGGAGCGAGATGACATTACGCTGACCACCTCGAGAGATAATACTCTACTTTAGTTGCTGGTTATATACGACTTAATATTAAAAGTTTAATTTTTTCAACTTACTGGCCCCCACAAGACCAGACTAATTTTGTCTGCCATTTTCCATGAGACTATTTGCCATTAAGGGACTAGATATTAAGTAATTGAAAATCAGCTATAAAATAAGCCGATTGATTAGGAATAAATGAAAGCAGCATCTCGGAAAATTGTGGAATTTAAAAACCATTTTCCATTTGATTTGTAAGGTGATAAGGAGACTATTGTTTTCCAAATTTGCTACAAGCATTTCATCCGATTTAGATTCCCAGGCAAGTTGCTATGTAGTTTTATGAAATATGATGTTGTGATTGCATTGAAGTTTCTTTATACAATAAAATCAATTTGTAGCCTTAAGAGGCAACGTAAGCGAAGTTATATTTTTAAAGCATTTAAGATTTGTTTCTTACTATTAAAAATGTTCTTCCCATATCCAACACTTGTCTCCTTACTTAAATCTGTTGCATGATGTGGCTTTAAAAGCTTTAAAGGGGCTAAATACTTTTGTCTAACAGATTGAATGCAAGCATAAAGTTTTAAAGCGCTCTGCATGTCTGTTGAAAAACACAAAGTCAAGTTAGAAATGTCATCTTATACGCAGATACGGCTTTTTTCTTTTGTTTGACTGTCAGCTAGTTCAAATATGAGAAGAAAAAAAAAACTGTTACAGTTAGTATGTTCATTTTTGTGGAAGCACTTGCAAGTCTCTATTGCTTACTCGACTGCCAATTATCCTTTATGTGGCAAGCACACGTCACGCTCCATAAAATTGAAATGAAATACTAAATTAGTGTCGTTACTGTGCTGATTGCCATGAACTGCAATTGCACATATGACGCAAAAGTCTAAGGGGGCAAAAAGGAGATCTCGCAATGGCCCCAACCATAAACATAACGCAAGCAGCACAAAGCAGCGCATAAGTTAAAAAAAAAATGGCAACAATACAACAACAGATACAACGTGGATAAGCTGCTGACCCAATAAAGTTTCTGCCGCTGCTAGTATTTTTGCAGTAAAATCAATTTTTCATTTCGTGGCAGCCTGGCGTCGCCACGCCGTGTCCTGCGACTGCTCGACAATTGTGACTGGACGCGTTAGAGCCAAGCGCTGCAGCAGACAACGTAATGGCTTATATGTAATGGCGGTCACAATCAAAAGCGAAAACAAAACAAAACATAAATATGCTGCAAGTGGCAGTAAAGTCATGTGTAAGTGGCAGCAGCAGCTGCTGCATTCGGATTTTATGACGTATACGCAACGTTGCACAAAGTTACAGCCAAAGTTGTGAGATAGTCAGATTGCCAAATTGACGGATTTGTGTGGCATACGCCTGCATTGATGACACACTCAACCATTTGTCTCCCCTTCTCTATTTGTTCTTTTCTTTTTAAAGCTGTTCATTTGCTGCTGAAGGCATCAAAACAGCTTGAAAAAAGGCTCCTGCATTCATTTAAGCGCTTTTTGCACCGATTTATTCCATCAAAGTAAATGCTGTTAGCGCCAGTTGAAGCAACAACACTCGACAAGAAATAAGCCAACGTCAGTGCCAGAAAATAAAACCAAGCAAAAAAAGTGTCACAGCACAGAAATTTGGCATCTTATTGTCTGAAGCTGTCTGCATATTGGCTGACAGCTTAGTCAAAATATGTCAATCAAATTGAGGCAAAGCGCATAGCAAAACAAAAAAAATTAAATGCTCAATGGCGGCTTGGCACCAACCCGTGTCGAGGCCATGAATATCAGCTTTGGCTGATATTTCATATATTTTGCATGCAAATTAAATGCGCATTAACACAAACAGCAGCAGCAACAATAGCCTTAAACTTAAATGCCAAACTGATTATGCAAAGTCCAAATGGGTTGAGACGATTATTTCTTTGAAGGGATTTTCCAGATTTACATATGCATATAGCAACTACTTATAAAGAAATATATTGTCTGCAGATTTGCATAGGCAATTTGGAAAGAAAAAACAAAAAAATGTACTTCCAAATACTGAAACAGATAAAATCTATTTTATAAAAAATGGAAGTTAACCAATGAAAATTATAAAATAAAAAATAATATACAAAAATAACGCCAGCACTAAAATAAAAAATAAAAAGGCATATTTTATATAACAAATTAAATTAGCATTGGCATGTTAAAAAAAATATACAATAATCAAAACTGTGGTAATAAAATAATCCTTTAATATACTTGGCATGTGCATGCTTCCCCAATTGACAAATATTTACCCTTGCGTGTTTTTTACTTACTATTTAATAAGAAATACAAAAATGTAAAACTAAGCAAACAAGAACTTATATATTTGCCTGTGTGATTATTTTAGTTTAAGTTGCAACTTATTGTCTTTAGTTTGTATAACTCGTAAAAGAACTATAAATAGAATGTACTTCCAAATAACTGAAAGTACACAAAGGCAATCGCACAAAAAGTTTTCGAAAAATGGAACGAAAATAAAGCATTCTCAGCGCAAAGCCGCTTAACTATAGAAAGGCATAAAGTTAAACTCGCAACAACAAAATATTTTCTCTTTCAGGCAGGAAAAACTTTGAGCAATGTGGCAATGTCGCATTTTTCATAAATAAACGCAAACATTGCGTATACGCAATATATCATATTTTTATACACATTTAAAGAGCTGCACTTCAAAGCGTTAGCACTTAAGTGACACTTCAGTAGCACATTTCTAGTAATTATTTTATGCAATGCACTACCCGCCAGCTGTATTGTCAGCACCCACAAAGGCGCCACGTTACGGGGAGCGGGTTTGCAGAGCAAAAAACGAGTTGGTTGGCATATATGAAACATAAAACAGACGCTGCAAAGCATTTGTTGGCCATGTGCCAAATGAAACTATGCGCTTGTAAAATGCAATAAAAAATTATACATTTATAAGCATCGAAAGTGGCGACATGTGGCCACGCCTTAAACGCCCCTAGGCGGCATTCACTCGACTAAATTGAATGTGTCCAAGTGGAAACAGGCAAGCCAGACACCCCACACAAGCACGCAAGCACACACACTTGAGCTATACGTGTGCTAATAAATCATTGCCAAAATAGTTGCGTGCCCGCATTAGTGGACCGCTTACCTGGCCACAAACGTTGTTTGCGTTTTTAATATAATTTATTTGGAAAATTCATGCACGTTTCGGCAGCCTGTGGCCAATAAGTTGACATCTTGTAGAGATTTTAATTTTAAGTCGCTGTCAAAGGTCACACCAGACAGTTAAGAACATTCACACACATGAGCCAGGGGGAAACAGACAGCCAGGCAGACGAAGAGTAACATATGCATGCACATAAGTTTTAAGGCCACACTAAAAGTTCAAAGGTCCTTTTGTTGGCCTGCACAGACGTGCGTGCTGCCACGACATTGCCATTGTTGCCAACAATCTAATTGTTAAAGTTATTGTTATCAGCTATGAACAATCTAACAATCAGTTGCATGTCCGCTGGGGTGAAGACTTGCATATGTTAAATTCAATTAGTAACATGCTGATAATCTCTTTGGCTACGTGATATTTTTACTCAATGAGCAGACACAGTTCAAGATCACACTAACCATATTTATGCGTTCTTATGATATGTAAGAAAAGTTTAATAAGCATGCAATATACAATACTGTGTGACACATTGAGTTCGATAACTTATGATAACGAGTATGGCGAATTTTTGTAGCTTTATTTTTATCTTACTGCTCATTTTATTCTTTAATTTTAGTTTCATTACCATATTAAAGGTAGATTATTAGTCGATTAAATCGCATTTATTTATGTTTAATATTTATTTATCTATGATTATTAATAATATTTTTTTTCACCTATCGCTGACATTATAACAGAAATAAGTTAAATTTGAGTTACAAAAAATATATTTTATACATTAAAAAGTTTTCCTTCCATGTCTTTGCGCTTTGCCCAGCTTTGAAAGATTAACATAGAATTAGGGAGGGACTTTTTTTTTTATCCTTACCCTTATCATTCTTTAGCGCCAAAGTTTGGCACCTACAAAAGTCGCATACGGCGCCACATTTATAACAAGCTTCAGTACACGACCTGAGCTGAAATTAATCCAGCTAAACAGGCAAATATACAAAATTCGTATACACGCATACACACACATATGACATGCAGCGGCTGGTGCGAAAACCCAGGTCTAAACAATATACCAATCCCAGTCCCAATACAAGAGCCTTGTCACCCGTGGGGCAAGTGTTTGGCATTATGCTAAGAGTGCTTAAAGCGTTTATTATGCAGCAGCTGTGGGCTTATGAATGGTTTTTAAATACCAGAGCTTAACAGGTCTTATGGCAGAGCAATTGTCATTGAACCTAACGTGTTTTATGTGCAATGTGATTATATTAATGTATTTTCAATTTTCATTGCAGCTACAGTCTGTTTGATATGACTTACACCTAAGGTAAGACACAAGCACGGGCAGCATGTTGCATCTGAGGCTTTTCGATAGCTCGCTCTATTATACGCTGGCCTCCGTGTCGTCGGGCATGCTGCCACCACCCCAGGCGTCTAATGGCAGCCAGTTGACGTTGACTGGCGCAGCAGCCGGCATTGCGCCAGCGGAGGCTGCAGTTAATCTGACATATTTTACACCTGCGATCTCACACGTGATGCTGGCGCCGACGACAACGACTGCCAGTGCAGCCCAGATGACAGCAGCAGCAACAACAGTAACACCAACAACAGCATCAACAACAATGCCAGGCAGCGATTTTCAGGCGGCGGCAGCGACAACGGCATCAGGCGACAACTTAACGTTGTCATATGCGGGTGAATTGGACAACTTGAATTCTTTCTACTTTTATGAGGTGGGTACCCAAAGTATAAAAAAAAACTCCTGATTGTCATTGTCTTCTCAGACAGCACATCTGCGCGGAGCGTATTTAACTAATTTATGCATTAAAACTGATACAGCTGCCCCAATTCATTTTATATAAACTTTTATCATTGAGTTCAATTGATTTTATAAAATAACATTTCGTGGGTGGATCACAACAGTTGTCTGGGTGATGTTAAGTTAAGTTGTTAGCTTCTTTTAACTTCTTATTTTTTACTATTCAAAGTATTTAAAAATATTTTTTATTAATTTAATTTTGACACGAAAAGACTCCCAATATATTTTGTTAAAATTTAATAAATATATATAATTAATTACATTTCATTTGTATATTGGAAAGATAGACATATGTAAAATAATTCCGTTTTTATACCCTGAACCCATTAAAAATGGGTATAAGGGTATATTGTATTTGTGCGAAAGCCAAATGTATGTAACAGGCAGAAGGACCTCCGACCCCATAAAGTATATATATTCTTGATAAGCAAAAATAACCGAGTCGATCTAGCCATGTCCGTATGTCTGTCCGTATGAACGCAAGGATCTCAGAACCTATAAGATGTAGGTGCTCCTAGCACCCACGCAGATCGAGTTTATTTCCGATAATCGATAACTTACTCCGTTTTCAAGCAATCGATAAAAATCGATATCGATATCCTGTTTTTTGGGCAATTTTGGTTAATAATAAGAGCTAGATTCACCAAACTTTACATACAGCTTCTAAAATAGAATATATATATTCATTTGATGTAAGAAGAAGGGGGTTCAGGGTATCCCCTAGTCGGGAGCTCCCGACTAGAACCTCTTACTTGTTGGTTAGAGAGTTTTATAAAATCGCTATTTTTTGATAATGCCCCTAATAACAAAATGGATTTTACAAAAGATTCGTAGAAAATGTTTTTAATACAATTGTTTTAGTTGCATTTAACATAGTTCAGGATTATCGAGTGTTACGGCAGGAATAGTTTTGTTAACGTTTCTAAAAATATACTTGAGAAATTGGTTTTTGATACCTTTTCTCAATAATTATGTTTTAAGTGAAATTAACTTTCCATACGACCCTCGCAAGCACAATGCATGTAGAACAACTTTCGTTACAAACTGCAAAGTTTATTTTTTTATTCGCTTGCCGCAATATCAAACAGTCGACAATGGCAGACAAAATTCCTGACGCTGGGGTCACTGTCGGCAGCTGTTGCCATGTTTTTCGTAAAAATTTGAATTTTGCGCAAGCTGCAAATGAGCGACATGAATCTCACTTTTCCACAAAATGACAACGAACAATAATAAGGCAAATGTTTGGCAAATGTCATTTGTTTCGCAGCTGCAAATTAGAATCGAAATTGGGGTAGAAAGTTGTGTGGCGCACTTTAAGTTAATTTACATGCCAGGCGCCTGGCTTATCAATTGGGCAATCAATCAGCGGTCGCAAGTCGTGACAACAACTTCGATTAAACTAAACTTCCGTTTTTTGGATCGAGGCGGCCATAAAAATGGAGCCAGCCTCTCCAAGTGTGGCACGCAACCAAAGTGTAATGAAATCTCTATACGCTCCATCGTATAAATCACGCCAACGAACAGCCATTGTTAAAACGGAAATAGCCTTAAACCCAAGGCAGCCGCTCGTGCTTACCCGGCCCTTTACAGTCGCGCAGATGCCGCTGTAAGCCAAGCTAAGGCGCGTCAATCGCTCAAAGTGCTTGTGCGTGTGTGTGTTTCGGTGTTTGCCATAAATTTGGATCTATTTAAATGAGCACCACGCAAAGAAAGCAGTCAAATTCACACACAGACCCGCAGACAACATATGGCCAACAAAAAGTAAAGTTAGACCATCTCCATTGCCCCGCATCGGTCTGGCCAACAATGACAAAGTTATAAAAAAAAATCAAAGAAAGCCCAGACTACAAATGCCAACAGCTTATTGATTTGAGTGATAGTTCTTATGTGCCAGCAATAAGAGTATCCTTGTAAAAGGACCGCAAGGGTAAGCATATAATTTATCTTCATCTCAACGCAACGCGCATCGAACCAACTTCAAGTTGGCTTTTTGCAATAGATTTTTCATATTTATGGCATATTGCGTACATCTGACTCTGAACTGATTTTTAGGCAACATTTACTTATAACCTTTTATTGGTTTAGGCAAAAAAAGCAAAAGGTTATTCGGCTATGATTCCTAATATATAATATTTGTTTGATTTTGAGGAAGATATTTTCTTTGATTTCTACTCAGTAGAATAAAAAACAGATGCCAAAAATAACAATCTAAAAATAAGTATGTCCTTTATTATTTAAAGTTAAAGGAATGCTTATAATAATATTAAATACCTAAACATCCAAGCGACAGCAAATTAGCTGCTTGACAATTCTGAGCTGCAGAACAAAAGGATAACAAAAATGTTGGTAAAAAGGGTTTAGTGAACGAGTAGTATTTAGTTGGCCCGGTTCAGCTTAAGAGTTACACTTATTTGTAATTTAAAAAGCTTAAGTGTGCCTCCTGCTTGAGGAATGCTTAAATGGTTTATAAAGGAGATTTATTGTATATTTGCACCGACCCCAAATACATTCACTGATTGACTTCAATAAAGTATAGAAGCTGAAATAGAGATACGAGGGAAAGCAAAATTAGAGATGAGTGCTTAAGATGGCTAAATGTAAGAACATAGAACATGGGTTCTATTATTCTTTGAATTTTTGGGCATTATGCAGCTCATTGACTAGTATTATATATTAACATAAGCTTACATTTAATTTATATAGATGCAATGATATTCGAACGGAGTAAAAGAAATGTTTTGTATATTCATAAATGATCCAAAGTAAATTAAATGCTGATGAAATCAACCCAATTATCTGAGTATAATCATAGTATATAGATTCGATTAAACCACGTCAACAAGTCCATTCTAACACGCTAGCATACACACATTGGCAAGGCCATACCCTGGGGGCTAATCTTGGCACATTGAGCTGTTGATGGCTCTGACACAGATATGCCAATTACAACTGCATCACACTCTCTGCACGGCGCCCAAAAGGTTAGACAAAGTCAAATGTGGGAGCTCAAGCCAAATCTGCGAGCAACTGCTGACCATGGCCAGCTGGAATGGACTGCAATGCTGTCCATATAAACGTATCTTTTTGTATCCGAAAACAAACCAGGAGCTTTAACCATGCTTGGCTATTACTCTGGGTGCTGGTATGGGCAACAATTTCATTTGATGTGCATGAAGATTTTCCCTGCTAGCTTCTGGATTTTTCCACTCGCTTCCAAACACACTCCCGATTAGCCGGGAGCAAAAGGAAAACATTGCGCAATTTTATATTTGTTTGCAGGAAAAATCGAAGCATATTATGCAGCCGCACACGCAGCTACTCGTATTGTTTGAGGGCTGAGCACTTGGCCAGTACATGTCCAGGCTATTTGCTTGGCATGTGTACGAGCCCGGCTCGTGCCCACTATGTACACATACACTTGCGTATTAGATAGTGGTCTGAGCTTGCATGGCTTTAAAATTTAATTTTGCCATTGGGCCTATGTTTTGGGCGGCGCCTATCTAGTAAATCAGCAGACGAAAATTGCCGCTGGCCAAGAGTTTTGGCCAGATAATCACACGTGCGAGTCGCGCTAATGACCCTGCCAGTCGTTACTCAATGTTCCATGTGCCTGCTGAGCCTTCTGCGTTGCCTGGCGTCTCAAGGACTCGAAGCACTTGTTTTTCATACTCCACATTTATTTTTAGCTTGGCCATCTACGACGTCATGTTGTGCTATATGTACTTTTAATATACAAACACATAATAGCTACAACAATAGCGGCCTTTGGCCAATGTGGCCATCAAAAGCCAGCATTAATTGAGCCTTTGTCGGGCATCGTGTAAGGAATCTTTGAATCTTTGAAAATTCAACAAATGCTTACCTAATAATATTCCAATAGCAGGCGTTGCCCATAGTTTACTTCATTGCTGTGACGTCGTCTTCGAGCTGTTCATAGGAAATTGAAACTAGTTTAAAAATTTGCATCTGCAAAATTTGTCAACTAAATTAGTAATCACACTTCTATGACTTTGTACAAATGGAAACACATTTTATTTTTAACTTTTTGTCATAGTTTTTTCCTAGATAGCTTCTGCATTTAAGGTGAAAAACTTTGAATTGGTTTATTTAACTTACATGACACTTGTGTGAGATCGAATTTTTGGATATTATACTTTTTGGTATTTTTGATGTGTTAGTTTTGAGAACACATCATTTGTATTTGTATTAAGTTTATGTCTTAAATATCTGATCCCATATACAGCTTTTGCTTTGATATTTCCTGGTGTGGGCTGCTCTCAGAGTTCTGTTAATCTAGCATCAAAAATTGCCTTAAGCTTATTTGCCAAGCAAAATTAAGCATGTGTGAAGAGCAGAACAGCAAAAGCAACTGTAAAATATATATATATATATTTATATAAGTATATACCTACTTGATGTATATATGCATCTTCAACATTTATCACGTGTCTCGACGACGTCGCTGCGTCTGAAGGTTAAACGCTTAGCGGTCACAAAGCGGCATCATTAACCGATGGCTGCGAGTTGTCGGCTTGTTGCTGGGATGTTGACTCCCCTTTTAACAATTTAATTTGCCACAAGTCGGCAATGTGGTGGCAGTGGGCAGCGGTAATTGCGATTACAACGCTAAGCGGCATGCGAGCTTACATTTTGCGCAAGGACAGCAGACAGGCAGGCGACCTAGGCGAGAGACGAGAGAGTTCGCTGTCATTCGGGTTGTTTATTGTACAGGGCTTGAAGTATTTGTCCGGCACTGGGACCAGTAAATAAACATATGTTAGCGCGGTGGGCAAGGGCGTGGCAATAATTACACTTGCAGTGCTTTAACACAAATTAAAGCATATTCCAAGTAACAGCAACAGACGTGCATAGCTGGACTTAATTGCATTCAGGCCAACGCAATTGTTGACAAAA